CTGGTAACAAAACAAGCCTCAGAAGTTTTGGTACCACTGGCAACAAAATAGACTTCAGAAGTTCTGAGACCACTGGCAGAACTTGATCTCTCTCTCCAAGCTACTCAGAACATCTGTAATTTGGTTATTTCTCCACAAAATAGAAGACATGCACATAACAGTTATAGCAGGTGTCATAGCGTTTCAGAAGATAAGAAATATTAGAACTATAAATCAGAGGTAAGCATGCATTGGCTAATCTTAATTCTGAGTTCTAGTCTCTCCAAGAAATTCTGAACTGATTTATTCTCTATTTAAGAAGGCAGATATATGAAGTCTCAGAATATGTTCAACATCAGAAACATGATATCTACATTGTATTTTTGAGCATGTAAATCTGGTAATGCTTGAGTAATATGGTGAGGGTCAGCAGAAATTCACCTTGCAGTTGGAAGAAGTTCTGTGAACCGGAGTTAACTTCAACTCTGATAATGTTCAGAACAGCTTCTTCACGTACTCAGTAAGCTAGAAGTTTTCAACTTCTGGGGATGCCAAGGAGGTGATGTGCTGATTTCTTTGAGTGGATGGATGGAGAGTGTGCAGTAGTATGAATACAGAAGTTTTAGGCAGTTTCCAACGTGTAGATCAGAAACTGTATGAATGTTTTTTTTTAGTCAAGAAATATTTGAGAACAAATGGAGTTTTAAACGCAAAGAATCAAAAGTTAACAAGGTGTTATGTGGTGTGTTTACAGTTCTTAGAGCTCTTGGGATTTTGGCAGGGGTTTAAGGCTTTTCTTTCTCAAATTTTTCGACTTCTTTATTTACAAAAATTTTCTGGACTTTTTTTTTTCTCAGTGACCAATGGTGCTCTATTTATAGGCAAAGTTTTTGTGTTGTTTGAAATGTCAAGTAGCGCCAACATTATACCCTAGATTCTGGCATGCTCTTGAAGCAAGTTCCAAAAAAAAGGTATGGTGGCTGACAGTTTTTTAGCTTAGGTTGGATTAGCAAGCAAGTATTAAGGAAAAGTGAACCTACAAGCAAAAAGTAACGCATGGACCCTCCTATACTTTTGTATAGAAGTTTTCTTTTAAGGAGAACAAGGGTATTTCTATGCCACACGTGGAGAGGTCCTTTGGACAAAGGCTCAAAAGTGGTTGTGAGCATTAATGAGCATTAAATGATGATGAGATTTGTCAAAATCAGAAATCCTATAATTTGAGATTTTGCATCATTGCTTAGTTCTGGATCAGAAGTTCTATCTAGGACAAACATCCAACTTCTGATCTTTGTACCTTGTTGCCTCAGCACATTCTGAAGGATTCCCTAGGCTTTCCAGTAACCTTCTTTGATTTATCTTAGAAAACTCTGGATTAGAAGTTATGCTTTAGCGTAGCATCTTCTGATCCTCTTATCTTCTGGCTCCAGCATGTTCTGAAGGGCTTTCAGGCTCTGTATTACACTTTATTGCCTTCTTTGCATTACTCCAGCAAACTCTGACTGAACTTGCGTAGACGCTGAAAAGCCATGTTCTGACTAAAGGTTATGTGTTGAACCACGTTTACAACTTCTGAATGCTCCTTCCTGGAGGCTGGCTCAGAAGTTCTGAAGTGTCATTTTTTCTTAAATACATTTTAGAAAAAATTCTAAGTATTTAGAATTTGACTTTTCCAAGGTAAAATTTGATTTCTGAACTTCTTGATGAAACAAACTTCATATTCCAACATGTCTTGATGAAATATGATTTTTGAGATTTGATTTTGATCCAAAAGTCAAAGTTTGACTTCTTAGCGTATAAATGACCATTTTGCCCTTGTGAATGGCTTGCTTGGAGAGAAATGATAATTCAAGGCTTGGATTTGTATAAGAGAAAACTTGAGAATTCAGGGTGATTTCCTGAGAAATGAGAGGGCATATTTTGGGGTACAATAGCTGCCCCTGTTCAATCTTCTTTAACCTGAAGAGTTAGATTGGCGAGATTTGCCATTCGTGACTCGAAGGTGGAAGATGGTTGGACATTAGAGTGCCCAGAAATTTGCACTCGGCGGCGATAGGAGAAATGGGCTTAAAGATGCCATCTGGAGAGGTGATAAAATCTTGTTGGAGATGGGCTTGTAGATGCCATCCAAGAATGCTTGTTGAGATGTAATCTGTAAGTTGAACATTGAAATAGCGTCCGTGTCTGGAGCCGATCTGTATTGTATCAAAAGTTGAGTCTGAATGAGTATCAGAATGGAATCCGTGTTTGGAGTGTATCCGTACTGTATCTGAAGTCTGGATTTGAATGAGTATCAGAATGGCATGCGTACCTGGAGCGTATCTGAACTGTATCTGAATTTGAAATCTAAATGAGCAATAGAATGGCATCCGTATCTGGAGCGTATCCGAACTGTATCAGGAGGTGTCTTTGAATGATTATCAGAATGGCATCCGTGTCTGGAGCGTATCTGAATTGTATCAGAAAGTTGGATCTGAATGAATATCAGAATGGCTTCCGGGTCTGGAGCGTATATGAATTGTATCAGAAAGTTGGATCTGAATGAATATCAGAATGGCTTCCGGGTCTGTAGCGTATCTGAATTGTATCAAGGGGTTGAATCTGAATGAGTATCAGAATGGCTTCCGTGTCTGGAGCGTATCTGAATTGTATCAAGCGGTTGAATCTGAATGAGTATCAGAATGGCTTCCGTGTCTGGAGCGTATCTGAACTGTATCAGAATCGCGTATTGTTAGCGATAGCTGTTAATCTTATCCTGAAAAGGGTAAAATGTTAGCTATAACATAAAATTATGTTGCATGAAATGTATGATGCAATATATGTATTTTATCAATGTCTATGATATGTGGATGTGATGTATGCGTATGTAAGCCAATTTGCTGTATTGCTGTTTGCATGAGAAAATAAATCCCTGACTGCTGCTGAGGATATGTAAATTCTTCACGTCTTGAAATTGGAGTATTGACAAAAAATTATGTTGTTAGAGCAATGTTGTATACTGCTCGAGGAATCTGCTTGGGGAATCCAGGGAATTTTGATGACTTCTACTGGGGATAGATGGGAATCTTGGTTCCGTTGGGGAGTATCAAAAGTTAACTGTTATCCGAATGGATTTCAGGCTTCAAACAACTTACTGGGGAGTTTGGAGGAACTGGATGGTTTCCGTCGGGGATTGATAGTTTGAATTTTTAGTTCCGCTGGCGATTTAAGTGACATATTGTGGGGATTCCTCATGGAATAACCTAAAGATGTTTTCCTATTCTTTCAATTTGTTAGTAATTGTCTTTTTCATTTTGTTTATTTGTAAACGGTAATTATGTTCAAATGCATATGTTCATTAATGAATCATTAGACGTTTTTGCAAATAAAACACCAGTGTAAAGAAAAAGACAAATAGTTTTCTGTACTTTAAAGAGATATCTTTGTATTTACTTTGAATAAGTATTTTGTACAAAGGAGACAGACATCCTAGTAAGAGGATGGTTCCATAAGAGTAAGAAAAAATTTATACAAAGATAGCTATGTGTGATAATCCCAAGGGGTTCCCATTCTGCTATAGCCTCCGTATCTCCAAATATCTTGTCTATTTGTTGCTTCATCCGAAGATGATTAAGCTGATCAGAACCTATGAGTTTGTCAGTGAAGTGGAAAGGTTATCCTCAAAGTGATCCGACGAGACATAGTCATACGCTTTAATTCCCAAACTTTTGCCTGGATCGCCCTTTTGGGTTTTCAGTCCATCAAGAAACCCTTTTTTGCCCAAGTCGCCCTTTCGGGTTTTCAACTTGCCGGGTGTACATATTTTTTATTTTATCCCTAATTTTTGCCCGAACCTTTTGGTTCGTCGGGATGCCCTTTTTCGCCTAGGTGTGTCAACCTAGTGGGTCTCTTATGCATAGTATCTTTTAACTATGTCCGCGTTCGCAGGGTGTGGCAGGTCGTCGCCATCCATGGTGGTTAAGATCATTGCCCTACCGGAGAAGATGTTCTTGATTACAAATGGTCCTTCATAGGTGGGAGTCCATTTTCCCCTGGGATCACTTTGTGGCAAGATAATGTGTTTGATCACTAGCTCTCCAACTTGATATACTTGGCGTCTGACCTTCTTGTTGAAAGCCTTGATCATCCGTTTTTGATACATTTGACCATGGCAAACAACAGTAAGTCTCTTTTCATTAATCAAGTTTAGTTGATCAAGCCGAGTTTGAATCCAATCGTCCTCTTTCAAACCTGCATCCTTCATAATTCTCAAAGAGGGGATCTGAACCTCAATAGGCAAGACAACCTCCATGCCATAAACCAAAGGATAAGGTGTTTCCCCAATTGACGTACGAGCCGTGGTACGATACCCGTGGAGAGCAAATGGTAGCATCTCATGCCAGTCCTTGTAGGTGACTGTCATTTTTTGTATGATCTTTTTAATGTTTTTATTCGCAGCTTCAACGACACCATTCATTTTTGGCCGATAAGGGGATGAATTGTGATGCTAAATTTTGAACTGCTCGCACAAGGCGGTGATCCTAGTATTGTTAAGGTTTGTACCATTATCAGTAATGATCCTTTCTGGGATACCGTACCGGCAAATGAGATTCTTCTTGATGAAGCGGGCAACAACATTCTTAGTAACGGACGCGAAGGAAGCTGCTTCGACCCAATTTATAAAATAATCAATGGCCATTAGAACGAAGTGGTGTCCATTGGAGGCTGTAGGCTTGATCTCTCCAATCATATCAATTCCCCACATAGCAAAGGGCCAAGGAGCCGTCAAGACATTTAGAGGAACCAGAGGTACATTCACCTTGTCCGCGTAAATTTGACACTTATGACAGGTCCAGAAGTGTTGATAGCAATTTGCTTCCATGGTAGACCAGTAGTAGCCTGCCCGTAGGATTTTCTTTGCCATCGTATGCCCACTAGAGTGGGTGCTAAAAGTGCCCTCATGTAGCTCAGCCATGATCTTCTCAGCCTCAATCTTAACCACACATCGGAGCAGAATGGAGTCATGATTGCGCTTGTACAGGATGCCATTACTCAGGAAGAACTTAGCAGAGAATCTCCTTAAGAACTTTTCAGGTTGTGGATCCGTCGTTTTCCTCATTGGTCTGTGGTTATTCTACAAAGCTATGAAACGAAGAATGATAAACAAACGAAAAGAAAAATTCTTCAAAAGAAACGGTGGTTTGTTGTTGCAAAAGAGAATGTCTTCAGGAGATGTAAATGTTGACAAAACTATTCTCTTTACTTTAAAGGATTTAAAGAAAGCCACTGAAAATTTCAATAAGGATAGAGTTCTTGGAAAGGGAGGCCAAGGTACAGTTTACAAAGGCATGCTGGTGGATGGTAAAATTGTTGTTGTGAAAAAGTTTAAGGTTGAAGGAAAGATTGAAGAGTTCATCAATGAGTTTGTGATTCTTTCACAAATCAACAATAGAAATGTTGTCAGACTATTGGGATGTTGTTTGGAGGCAGAAATTCCTTTGCTTGTTTATGAATTCATTCCCAATGGTAACCTTTTTGAGTATCTGCATGACCAAAATGAGGACATACCAATGACATGGGACATACGTTTGAGAATTTCCTGTGAAGTTGCTGGTGCTATATTTTATTTGCACTCAGTTGCATCTCAGCCAATTTATCATAGAGACATCAAATCAACAAATATATTATTGGATGAAAAGTATAGGGCAAAATTAGCAGATTTTGGCGCACCAAGAATAATTTTAATTGAAGATACTCATGTTACCACAATGGTTCAAGGTACTTTTGGATACATAGACCCTGAATATTTTTACACTAGCCAATTTACAGAGAAAAGTGATGTTTATAGCTTTGGAGTAGTCCTTGCTGAACTTTTGACTGGTAAGAAGCCAATATCTTCTACAACAAGATCAGAGGAATCACAAAATTTATCTTCCTATTTTGTTCAGTGTATAGAGAAGAATATGTTGTTTGACATTATTGACAAAAGGGTCATAGAAGGAGGAGAGAAAGAACATATCATTGCAGTTGCAAATCTTGCATATAGATGCTTAGAAATAAACGGAAGAAAACGACCAACGATGAAAGAAGTCACATTAAAATTGGAAGGGATCAGAGGATTCAATAAGAAGCTTAATGCACAGCAAAATAACGAAGAAATTGAGTTTTCTAGAATTGAAAAGTACCAACATTGGTATGGGTTTTCTACATCTTATTCATTACCAATTATCAGCTACCAAGATCACTCCACAGACTCGGAGGTTATGCATATTCTTGAATTAGAATAGTTGGTTTGTTTAATTGCTTTTCTCTGGTATTGACTATTGTATTATTTTATTATACACAAGAGTTTGCTTAGGATTTGAAGATCAGATATGAAAGTGGTTATCGGTACTGAATTATATTGGATGTATTTAGTAAGCATATACCTTGTTGGTCATTTTAATGAGGTCTTAAGTGCAACGATGAGAGAAAAATGTCGAGTTTTTAACTGTCTTAAAGTGTATTGGGATTGCAAATCAACATGATTGGCATAAGCTTTGAGTTGAAACAGACTGCATGATGATTATCAAAGCTTTGAGATGAACATCTTGATTGGATACAACTAACAACACAAACATCATTATAATGCATATATACATAAAAGGGGACTCCTGTGCAGTCTCTAAACATGAGTTCTTCAATAATTATTTATTTCATCCTCATTTGGATAAAAAATAATTTTGTAAAGAATAAGATAGACATACTACTTTGATTTTCAATGTTATTGTTAGATGTGATGTTTTATCATTTAAATTGATGTTTCTCATTCTTGCCATGATGCTTTGTTTTCTTTGTGTCGATGTTTCGCCATCGCATATGTCTATTATCCTACTTTAGTTTTCAATGTCGTTGATAGGTGTAATGTTTTTATCATCTAAGTTTTGATGTGTTGTGATCTTTGCCATGATATTTTACTATCCCTTTGCCGATACTTCGCCATCGCGTATGTTTGTTATCCTACTTTTATTTTCAATGTCATTGTTAGGTATTTGAGCAGCTTGTGTATCCCTAACAATAATGTTTACTCAGCAAACGACATCTCTTCAGAAAAGTCTCGTGGGGAAGTTTGTATTTTATCCTTTTCAAGGGGAAGACTTGATTAAGAAGAAGTTGAGACTCATTCTAGGTGGAATGCCATAATTTTGGGAAATTTATTATTGTTCTATATTTTTCTACCTTTATCTATTGAGTTGGTAGTTTACCATCATCTATGAGTCAGTATCTTATCAATCTTATATCTTCAACTATTGAGTTGGTAGTTTATGGTAATTTGTGAGTTGCTATCTTACTTTTCTACCTTCATCTTTTGAGTTGGTAGTTTACCATCATTTGTGAGTCGGTATCTTGTTTGATTTTCTACCTTTAACTATTGAGTTGGTAGTTTACTGTCATCTATGAGTTGGTATCTTATTAATACTCTACCTTTAACTATTGAGTTGGTAGTTTACCGTCATCTGTGAGTCAGTATCTTATCGATCTTCTACCTTCAACTATTGAGTTGGTAGTTTACCGTCATCTGTGAGTCCGTATCTTATTGATCTTCTACCTTTAACTATTGAGTTGGTAGTTTATCATCATCTGTGAGTCGATATCCTTTTTTATTTTTCTAACTTTGACAATGAGTTGGAAATTTACCATCATCTTGAGTCAGTAGCCATTTATCTTTTCACAACCCATGTAAGGCGTTTTCTTCTCTCGAAGTTGTTCCCCAATAAGAGTCTCTCAATCGAAGTCTGTGGCTTTGTTCTCCAATGGAGTTATAATCTCTTCTCTTGTGGGATTACTTTATCATGTGCTTGGTTTCTCCAGCAGTAGTTTGTCGCATGTGGCATCATTCCCTATAAAATTCAGAGCATTGCATTCGTATCATATCATAAACATCATTGTGGTATCTTAGGACCAAAAGTTGTGTATTTTATATTTAAGTATCTTCAAATTTTGTTGAAACAAAGATTTCAATCTTCATATCTCCGAATAGAAGAAAATTAAATAGGGGCAACTGTCATACCCCAATTTTTGACCTAAAATCCCATCCTCCATTTACAGCATTGCATAACAAGTGTTCACGAGTGTTTGACCTATTTTTTTGCCAATTCTTGAGTTAGATTTCAAAAATTTATAACTTCTTCAAATTTCAACACTTTTGAGCGGTTCTCTTTGTATATGACTCTCCTTGTCATCATCTACAATTTCTCTTTACAAGTCAAGAGCTGATTATGCTTTGAAAATCCACGAAAAAATAAAAATGTTAGAAGTCGTTTATGAATTTAGTGGAATTTGATTTTTATTCTGTTTTATTCATGATTTCTTTTCCATTTAAAAGAAATCACAAAAAATGTACTTAGCATCATGTTATTTTTTTATTTATCATTTTTATCTCTTTGCTAAAAAATTATCAAAAATATGTTCTTTTATTAATTTAAATTTATATATTGGTATCATTTATTTCCAAAAAATCTAGAAAAATTTATATAAGTCCTTTTACTTATATGTATTTTATTTTTTATCTTTTAATTTGCGCTTATATTTTCATTTATTTTAACTCAAAAAAAAAATCATAAATAGTTAATTTAATGTCTCTTTTATTTTTTATTTTGTATTTATTATTATTACTAACACTTTTAGTTATTATTATTAATATTATTATTATTATTACTATTATTATTATTATTATTATTATAAAAGTTGAGACCACTATAATGTAGTACAAATACTTCACATGGATTGCCAACTTGTACTTATCAATGGCCAAAAATCATTCTCACACTTCACATGGATTGCCAACTTGGACTTATCAATGACCAAGAACCATTCTCATAAAGTCACATGGATTGCCACGTCAACACTCCAACCCCATTCACTCTATAAATAAGACATTTATTTCTTTTATTTGGAAGAATAATACCATAAATCATTCACTAAACTAAGCCAAAACTCTCTTCTTTTTTCTCTCTTTATTTTCTTTCAAGTCATTTCTTCCTTTTATTGAATAGGTAGGCTATTATACTTGTTCTTTATTTAATTCTATTATATTTTTACTCTTTATTTATTTATTTATTTATTTAGTATCATAATTATCACAATTTTGGAAGGAAACTCCACTGATTCAAAATCAAGAATTGAAAAGTGTTCTTGAACCTCCAAAAGCAAAAATGATTTATTGTTGTTTAATTTTCATTTTTTCTGTAATTTTTTGTTGTTTACTTACTTATTTTGAGCATGGATCCTTGGTCTTGAGATTGAGTAGATAAACTTTCATTATTCATTTGTTTAATTTCATGAAAAATTTAGAAAATTATGACATTCATACTATTTTTATCATAGACTTCATCTTATTCTTCTTTATCTATTTTATTTTTATTTGGATCAATTTGGAAAGCTTTTGAGCTTTTTTAGTTCATCTAAGCTTGTCGGATATTTGATGAACTTTCATCACTTCCAATCTACCTCTAAATGGTCCTTTGATCATTCAAGATACTTGAGATTGATGATAAATTTGTCATAATGTATCTTTCTTGACTCTGTCTTGATCCCCCATGTTTGTTAAATGTACTACATGTATAAGAGAATGAACTTCAAAGTGTCATTTCTCTATATGAAGTTACACTTATCCCAAATCAGATTATTAACTTTATATTGTACTAACTTTACTTTAATATCATTTATATTTCCGCACTTTATATTTTCTTCTCTTTACTTTTATGCCATTTATCATCCATAGCATTTTATTTTCTTTACTTTATGCATTTTTTCTTTGCTCACTTGAGCATTTATCTTCTTTTTGCTCACTTTATTTTTAATTTTTAATTTTTAAGTCTTTTGCCTTATTTTCATTTAAAAATCCATACAAAAAATACAAAAAAATACTATTAGATTAGGATTACAATTATTTTTTTCTTGCCCTCTTTAATAAATACCAAAAATATATATTAGTATAATTTTGTCTTTCTTTATTTTATTTAATTTTTGGTTGTTAATTATTTAGTTATTTAATTTCTATTTATTTAATTTCCCTTTGTCGTTCATTTAGCCTTTATATTTTGTTTGTCTAACTCCAAGGGAAAAAACCAAATTCATTGACTTCATGTCAACGAGTATTTGATACGATTGTGCGAAAACTCCTTTGTACATTTTTTTAGTTTTATTAATCTAAAAACAAATCTCTTCTAAACCCTAATTTTAAAAAACTCGCACCTCTTTTAAGGAAAAAACTTCGACACTAGGTCGTCGCATTTTCAAAATCTCATCCCCACACTCATTTAGCAAGCAAACTAATTTTAACCAAAAACAGATGTTTCAAAAGGTTCCTATAGGATACTATAGATACATAGGGTGCTAGTATCTTCCCTTTGTATAACCAACCCCCGAACCTTCGATCTCTTTCAAATGCATTGTACTTTTCTTTACTTTTAGTATTGCACTTACTTTGCATATTTATGGGTTTTATTTCGCACTTTTCCATTTTCCCTTGAAAATAATAAAGCGCGGTGGCGACTCTTGCTTATTTGCAAGTCAAGTTAACTAATAGCCTGATCTCCGATTTTAACCGCTACACTTAAGACAACGGTTTTACTTGGTGGAAAGTATCTCGCACGGAAAAGTTTCTTGAGGTCATTCCAATTGGTGATAGAGTTCACTGGGAGAGAATCTAGCCATGATCTTGCTCTATTCTTGAGGGAGAAAGGGAATAAATGTAAACGTATAGTTTCAGGAGGAGCACCATTGCTTTTAAATGTGTCGGGTAGTTGTATTAACACTTTCAAGTGTTGGTTAGGGTTCTCCGTTAGGAGACTAACGAATTGGTTTTGTTGCACGATTTGCAACAAAGCAGGTTTCAAATCTATAGTTTCTAGTTATTACGATGTTTATCTAAGGTGATAAAAAATAGTTGTGAGAAAAGGAACAAAATAAATATGTTAGGCGACGACAACAGTATCTAGAGGGAGGTGAATAGATACCCCTTTGAAAATATCCAAATAAAAATTTGTTTTGAAAATGTTTTATCAAAGTATGACGCAGAAGCAAATTGTCATCTTTACGAACGTTATCGAGAAGTTTAGATATGCAAACCGTAAATCAAAAAATAATATGGAATGAGAACGATAGTGAATTAACAACCTTGAATTACTTTCCAACTTATTTAGAAATTAATCAATTTTACTTTGCATGACTATTTCCAATAATAAAATTAAAGTAGCTAGTTTAGTCAATTTATCAAACACTTGGTGTGCAAGTGAATTTTCAG